ACCAACCTTCCTTCTGTTGCTTTCCCCCTGACTGCTGTGCAGGGACAGGAGTCTGAGTCTTCATCTGCTCTTTCTTCTCTAATTCCTTCCGCTTTTGTCTCTCTTCCTCTTCATCCTTCCTCTTTTTTTCTTCCAGGGCCGCAGTGATTTCCTGCTGCATGCTGGATATCAACCCTCGCATCTCCTGCAGGGCTCGCTCAGTGTTGGCCACGTCTGCTTGAGTAGGGAAACCTCTCTGACAAAAACAGAGGAGGCAGCACACCATTAACCACTGTCTGTGGAACAACTGCAAGAGCAAGGAGCCTTTGAAGCATGAGCCTTCACATAATCTGGGAGCCAACTATACATTTCATCCCCATCTACTTTATTTGTACAAAATATTGGTCATAATATTTGTAAATAATGTTAGTCCATGACTAGATCTCACAAGATCTTGGACAACAAAAATTACTAACACACTTGGACAAGTGTAAGTGGACTCCAGTGAAAAGTCTTGACAGCTTCCTCTGCAGAAAGCCAGCTGTGACAAACTGAAACAAAGAACTGGCCTTATTAGTGTTTTATTTTTCAAGGTTTGTATCCCACCCTAGAGAGAAAAAATGTCAAGGAAACCCCATTACTGCAAAAGGCTTATGAGCATAGGAAAATCATAAGATGGTTCATGAATTGTTAAATACTGAACACTTCATTGTCTCAAAAAGGAACGTTACAGCACCAAGACTTTACAGTCATTTAATTTGACTCTTTCTCCCGCAGAAGTCCTCATGCATTTTTATAAGCCACTTTCATGAGAACAGCTGAAGTGCCACAGAAAAGAACTCCCCTTTGAAATTAGATGCTTTATAGGGTGAGTCTAAAAACATTGCTGTGACATCTTATTTAACGGCCTCCTGACAAGCTGCTTTTGAAGACAACTGCAGGAAAGTTTATGAAGGAACAACCAGAGTTAAGCACAACTGCAGAGCCTGTACCTCACTCGTGGAACGGATGAGCCCTGACACCAGCCCACAGATCTGGTTGCCACGATTGCTGTAGGCAGACAGGTCGATTCTGGGCAAGTCTTTGTGCCTGTAGTTGGGATCAATCTGCTGGTTGAGCTGCAGCAGCTCCTCCTGGATGGAATAAAGGCGACGCAATCTCTCCTGCCCCTCTTCCCTGCGCAAACGCTCCAGCTCTTCCTGGCGCTGCCGCTGCTGCTCCGCCTCACGCAGTTTGAGGTTCAATATCTGGGGAGAAAAAGACACAAGAGTCACAAAACATTTAAGGAACTCCAGCTTTACGTCTTTTTCCCGGTTTCATGACTCCCAGCCCTGCAGGGCCTTCCTGCTCCTACAACACGTGTGCTTTTACTGCATTTCCACACTGCAGCAGGTGCCCAGGTCAGCACCAGAAAATCCATCCTCACACCAGGGTGCCACGGAAATACAAATAAATCAATTGGTCTTTCCAGTTCCCACCCCCAGTAGTCATGGTCTTGCATGAAAGACAACGCTTAACAGCCTCAGACCTTTGCTCTGTGTCGGTGTTCTTCCTTCAACTTCTCTTGTTGCCCCTGAGCTTCCTTTGAACTACGAGACACATGAAGACAGAAAAACTGTATTTAAGATATCCACCAGACAAAATACAAACACACTGTGATTTACCCTTAAAATAAGCCAAGGGAACTTTAACGGTCACAAATATTGTCTTTTTCTAACCACTGAAACCTCAGCAGTAACCAGAGATCTACTCTGACAACCCATAACAGGACAGTCAATGCAAGAAAAGCAGTAGGTGAAATTTTCAGCAACAAGGGACCAGCATGGAACTTGTGTCAGGCACAAGAATAATCCTCACTTTGATAAAATGCTATACAATTTTAAGGATACCAGAGCTAATCTCACCTCTTCTCCATTACTTCTTGCAACTCTTGGAATTCCTGATGCCGCTTCAGCTCCCGCAGTTCATCGAAGCGCTTCAGCTGTTCACTGGCCTGGGCATAGGCTGCCCTCACCATCTGCTCCTGCTCCTCCTGCCTCTGCCTCAGCCTCTCCTGGATTACAGAGGGACAAGAATTGCAGAATTTGAATATAGGAAAACACAAACTAAATTGCCCAGAGTGGATCAACATTTAGGATGACTTACTGTCCTTGCACTGTTACATCTGGAGCTCTGCTGGGATTCACACACACCCCCTCAACCTTTTCTGACTTACCTTTGCTTTCAACCTGTGCATCTCCTCATACATTCGAATGCAGCCTTCGACTTTTGCAACTTTGGATGACAGAACTGCTGGAGAGACTTCTTGATCCGTTTCCAGGGGACTGAGATGATCATTTCCCTGCGTGGTCATAGCAAAAGCAAAATCAGTGACCAAGCACAGGATCAACAACTCACAGAGGAAAACAGGTAAATCAAGTCCCCATAACTATTATTTGTTGAGAAACAAACAAAAGGGGTCAATGAATGCATGTTTTTAGAGCAGTTATGTATCCCAGTAGTGCAGCCACACCATTGTGAGTATCCTCCAGCACGTTCATGAGGTTGGGATGATTACTTTTCCAATCACTAAGACTGGAAGCAGAGATACCAAGAGACTCTAAGACATTCACAAAGACCAATCAGGACATTCACCTGGAAAGCCTAGACAAACCCTCCATGTTGTCTTAAAACTCAGGAAAAATGTTACACTGGAAGTCAAGACAGGTTTATACTTTGAACCATCCTCCAGGAGGAGTCTTCAAACTTTCTATTGATGCTACAAGAAGTTAAAACTAAGCATCTTTTCCCTATAAAACAGACCACAAACCAGCCTTAATCAATTTATGGCAGTAAATCAGCCCGTTTTTTCTCACAGCTGCTCCATAAGCATATGGATTATAATCAGAGAGCTACCTTGGTCTCACTCGGCTCTGTGGATGAAGGTGGTGAAGAGCTCCGGTGGCTGCCAGGCGGGACCCTCTCCGCGGATGCCCGTTTTGAGACGGGGGTGGATTGTTTGGGCGTAGAAGTCCCGGAGGGTGTGATTTCTGGGGCTGACTGCCCACTAATGCTGTCCAGCACCCAGCCGCAGTACGGGGAGAGCTCAATGGGAGCCACACACCCTTCCAAGGCACCCTTGAGAGAAAACATCCCCCGTGAGCGCGAAGCACACCGAGACAGCAACAAAGCTTTAACACACCACGAGCACACCCGCTCCGTCACCAGGCGCTTTGTGACCGCAGCTCAGTACCCCACTGACCCCTTTCTCACGGTGTTTTCCCCCTCGGGTCAGCCCCGCTCCCTGACCGCGCGCTCCGGGGGTGTTTCAAAGCCCTCACCTCATCCTCCTGCCAGTGGCGGCAGTAGTTCAGCTGGCCCTTGCTGGAGAGGCGCAGAGCCTCCAGAGTCTCGAAGCGGAGCTGCCACGACTCCATGGCCCGTGTGTAGCCCGGCCCGAGGGGTCCCTCACGGTCCCAGAGGTCCCTCAGAGCCCCGGGATTCCCTCTCTGCCCCGGGTCCCCTCACGGCCCGGCCGGGCCCGCCCCGCCTCTTCCGGGCCTTGTGCTGGGCGAGAAGGGAGCGGCGGGCGCCCCCTGGCGGACAGGAGGAGCCCTGCCCGGTGCCAGAACCGCGGGTTCGAATCCCGCTCGCGGCGCTTCCCGTGAGGGACGAGCCCAGGGAACGAACCGGGAAACACCCACGGATTCACTGATTTTCCATTTATTGTATTTGTTCATCCCAGGTGCAGGGAGAGGGCTCCACCCGAGAACCACAGAAACACTTAGGAATTCACTTGCCTGCACCGACAGCCCCAGGGATGTGTTTGCTTTTCCAAAATCAGACCCCCAGACGCAGCGCACAAAGAGCAAAGCCCCGCCGTGAAAATCTATTAAACCAGTTAAAAATCTAGTTTATTGTTTTACCGTAGCACCTTTGGGATTTTTAAAGTGTTAAACACACAATTACAGATCTCGCAAAAAAATGATTCGTTTAGGAAAGTTTTATGACAAAACAGTGCCAATGACCACATCACATCGCACATAAATAGGATATGAAAGAGAGAAACATAAAAAACAAGGTTTACTTTTGCCCCCATAAGAACCGTTTAGTGGAAACAACAGGGCACTAGAGAGCACATGGATTTTAGAGATTTGACACACCAAAGACCTGATTTTCCAGGAAAAGGTTCAGGCAAATGTGATGAAGTTGAGTATCTGTAGCTGCTCCTTAATTGGCTTAAAACCAAGTCAGGATTTCATGCACATCCTGACTATGAGTGACATTCCCACCAAAACTCCAATTGAAGTGATGCTGAGGCTAAACCACAATCTTTCCTTCAAATTCAGATTGTTTTGGTTCAGTTCTGGGGATTCTGAGATTCTGTGATAATCAGGATCAGAAAGTCAGAGTGAGAGGAGCAAAGCAACATTAGCATCACACTCAGAAATAAAGGGAGTATATAAGAATCAAGTTTAAAAAACCAAACCAAAATCATTATTTCTGGTATAAAACTGTTACAAACACTGTGGTTGTGCAGGAGATAATCTCTTGTGCGTATGGAGCCCAGGCACCTCAGTTATTTTCAGCTTCACACCTCTGGTGGGTGGAACCTCTCCCACCAGCCCATCATCCAATGTATCAATACAGTGTTCAATAGTTTAAAAAAACTGATTAAAAAAACCCCACAAACAAAATTCCCCACATCACCCCCACATGATCTTCCCAACAGAGAAATCGAATGAAAAGTGAAGTACAAAAAGAGCTCTTATAAAAATTAACATGCTCAACAAATCTCTGACAGGTTTCAAGAGCTGAAAGCATCAGTTCCTTACAGGATGAAAACGATCTTTTCCATCTTCTGCAAAACCACTTGGTTTTGGGGCTCAGTTGATGGTGTAACACCAACCTCCAATGCCAAACCGGTATTGCTGATACCCCCCGTTTTGGTCAGGTGCCACCATCATTATACTGTCTCATGCTGCTAGGAGGTCTCCTGACAGTGACCCTGGAATACCATCCTGATTTCTGTCTCAATATGGCTTTGAAACAACATTCCTTCTGTGCTTGGAAGAGGTGCAAGGGGAGCGTTGCCCTCAGAGAGGAGAGCGAGAGCGGCCGGGGAAGCTCAGCACGGCACCTTCCCTAAAAACGTTGTCATAGGAAGACTTGAGGAACTGGACATAGTTCTGCATGCTCCGGTTGGTGCTCTCCGACTGCTCCAGCCGATCCTTCAGGTCCTGGAGGCGGCTTTCGTACCGGCGCTGGGCCTACACAGAGGAGCACAATGCACAGCCTGAGAGACAGCAACATCCACCCTGCTCACGTTAAACTGCTCCCCCAAAATGCTAAGGAGAGCCAGAATTAGCACAGCAGGGGATGGCATTGCCATAGATGGAGCTGTGATATTTATAATTCGTTCTGCTCATTTCCAACTCCATTCAGCAACATGCTGATAAAAACAGGAGACAACGTGGCTAATCAGTTGGGCTTTTAAAACTCATTAGCTGTAGTTATGGGGAACTCTTTTCTGAAAAGCAACTTGACCTGATCCATGAGCCAACACAACTCCAAGTAAAACTCAAGCAAGCAAGCAGGGTAAATAGGAATTATGACAGATTCCCAGCCTTTCTTCTAGAGAAAATCCTTTCCTCTAGAAGAGAAATTGCATTCTCTCTCAGGTAACCAAAATGAAGTTGAAATCTGTCCATGATACCTGGTGCAAATCTCATTTGAACATAAGGAAGGTCTGATTCTTCTCTTGCACACACATAACTTTACATCAGGTTCATTCAGGCTATTGTACTCTCATTTGCCCATCACTTATTGCATGCTCCTGAATCAGTGACACAGCAGGCATGTCCTGTCACACATCTGTCATGGACACACACATCAGCATGTCACATTCAGGCACAGCTCTGCATGACCTCTGCAGCACATCCAGAGGACTTGGTTTATGGACTCCAGTGGCTGCCAGGACACCACCAGCACACCAGGAATATCCCCCACAGGTCACTCACATCCTCTTTGCTCCGACGCAACTGGTTCAGGTCCGTTTTAGTCCGACTCAGCTGGGTCTCCAAATCCAACAGCTTGGACTGGGTTGCCCTCTCCCTAGAGACTGCTCGTTCTCGAGTTTGTTCCACCTACATACAACAATAACTGTTAAAGGGCTGGCTATGCAAGAATGTTTTTTCCTACCCCATTGCCCACAAAAGCCCTATAAAGCTTAACTGACACATACTCATACACAAACAGCAGCTCAGCCTCGTGCTTTTCTCCTTCCTACTGCAAACTAAGTTTTTCAACCTTTTAAGTGCTGACAAACAGCACTAGCACATTATTTGTATTTCACTGAACACAATGATTCTAATGGTTTTGGTTATAAGCTGAGGAGATACTTTCAGCATTCTCGCTGTTCCCCTTTCACAGCCTGGGTACCTTTGGGTGAATTTCCAAACAGGAGGAACTACTCACTTGTTTTTTGGCATCATCAATGGCCATCTCCAGCTGCCGTGCCAAGGAGCTGCACTCCCGGGTCTTCTCCTCCAACCGCAGCTGGCACTGGTGGATCGACTCCTCACGCTTTGCTATGACCTGAAGGAATTCTATGTTCTGGGCATTCGTGGTCTCTAGTTTTCTAGTTTAAGACAATAAGGGAAGGAAACCTATTCATTTTAAATGGAGTGTGTTTCAGTCTGCCTTTTTGTCAGGTCCTGACTCCTCTGGTAAGAGATTCCATTCCCCACATAAAGGTGAGAGCCCCAAGAAACGCTTCTCTGGTCCTCAGATCGAAATTTCTAAGACTGAAGAACCTGTAGAGTACCCACATACCTGCATCTTCTCAGACACTGTCACTAAAAGTATTTTATAAACATGGGTCAAAATATTGAAATACTGTAATATGTAGTAACCTCAAAATTGCCAGGCTAGATTGGACAAGGAGCTGCTTTCTCCTCTGTCTAAGCCATCATCCTGTCTAACAACATTCACAACAGGTGCTGCTGCAAAAACATGTAACTCTCAGTAGACAGCTACTGATTAGAGATCCTTGTGGGATAAGCAAATGCACAGAATCCTGGAGGCATGTGAGGAACCAGAACAAGACTGAAGCTGTTTCAATCCCCTGTAAAAACAATGGAAATGAAAGGTTAAAAAGGCAAGAGACCCTAATATTTCTAACCTTTCTAGCTCCTCCACCTTCAAGGTGAGTTGCTTTTTCTCCTCCTGGGCAGACTGATATCTCTCTCTTGTCATCTCCATTTTGTCCCCCTGGAGCTCAATCTAAAAATTACAGGAATGAATTACTTCACAGAGTAGTCACTACACACACATGACCAACCACCTAAAAGATATGAGCTCTCAGAAGGAAACATGCTCAATTCATTATCTCTGGAGAGCTTCAGAAAAGGAACACTGGACAGAAAAGCACTAAACATCCATTTTGCTGGTGCTTCCAGTTAAAGTCTTGAAAGGTATGGAAAAACTCTTCCAAAAGAAAAGCCAGGCCTGTAAATTCCTGCAAGCACAGCCAAGCATACACACATGAACAGCAGCCATAAACATGCCAGCAACCCATAAAGGCATCAGAGCCCGAAACACCAGGAAGGTTTATAATTCCAAACCAAGCAGACTAAAGTGGTCAGACAGAGATCATGGGCTGTGTCTTGAGGCACAGCTGTAGAAATCATCCCTGCCTGAAATTGTCCTCCAACACCTACAGTCTTCCTGGGGACACCAAAAAGGGACTGGGAAAACAACATGAAATCAGAGTGAGAAAACAAGGTTGGGACAGCACCATCAGCAGCAAACCACGGGAGGAAAAGCTGACAAGAGGATGGAAGTAACAGAAGCAAGCGCTGGCATTAGCAAGTGCTGTCACTGCAGCTATTCATGTCCCAATGAGATGCTTCACCAGGGCACGAGAAACCTTTCAAATCTTAAGGAATGCTACCAGCAAAGCCATTAACTTCTTGCACAAAGACATGGCACACACCTTTATTTTGCAGTGCACGTTTAATCTTTTCAAAAAGAGATGAGAATAGAGACGAAGTTTGAACCTTGCTGTGATCACAAATTCATCTTGGTCTCACAGTGGTGTGCACTGGTACGTCTCACAGTTGAGGTGTGCACTGGTACGGGTACTTTCTGCCAGTCCCTTACCAGCTGACGGAGATCTGCAATCATGGCACACAGGTCCGTGTTCTTCTTCTCGTAACTCTGGAGCTGCTCGTGACACTGTGCCAGCTGTGTCTCCGTGTACTTCAGGATCTCAGGCAGCTTCTCCAGTTCAGCAAGCTGGCTCTGGAACTTCTTCCGTGTCTGTAATCAAAGAAGAAAACATGAGGAACTTTCCAATGTTCCTAAGGTCAAGACTAGAAAACTTCTCAACTTCAATGAAGCTTTGTTAGTCCACAACCGTGATGACACGCTGTGGATGTTTGGTCACTGTTGGAGTTCAAAGCCTAAGGTCTTCTCCTACTCCAACAGGCTTTCACTGAGAGTGTGGCATTCCCTATGGATAGTGTGAGAAGGAGTATTTTAGATACTGGGCTTCAATTTTACTGGAAGTACAAGGTCTTTTTTTGAAGCCAGCTGTGTCACATCAGACCAAAAAAACTAATGGAAAAGGCAAACTCCAAATAAGCCTTTTATTTCCTATTCACAGCTGTTTTTCACTACATTCAGAACACTAAGATCCATGAATGTCTATAACATATGGCTTTAGAGGAATAGTTACCTGTTCAAGCTCCTGGGTCATTTCGTCCCTTATTGCCTTTCTCTCTTTTTCAGCCCTCTCCAGTCTTGCTGCCAGTTCATCCGCTTCCTCTCGGGCCTTCAATGCCTGGAAATTCAAAAAAACCCACAGACTTTATCTATCATAGTTATATATATCTGTCTATTTATACATAGTTATCTGTTTTATATATATAGCACTGCCTTGGAGTAACTAGAACTGCTCGATTTGGATGGTTAAGGAATTACAGACTAAGCCCTGGTGGAGGGCCATGCCCACCTGTGCTTTGTAGGATTCAATCATCCCCTCGTAGTTCCTGACAGCGTTCTGGAGCTGCTGCACTTCCATCTGCGCTTGGTTCAATTTGTCCTCCATTGGGCCAAGAGCAGCCTGAAAAAAAGCAAACATATTCCACTGAGTGCTTGAAGTACCTGCCACATGAGCTGTCTAATGTTGTCTAGACTAAGAAAATAGACTTTTGTCCATGCAAATTGCCAAAACTGTCCAGACTTCAGTGGATTGCCAAATTTACATCAGCAGTGCACAAGGGTTCGGGATGGACGTGTAACCTTTCCATTTCCAGTATAGGGACAAATTATTTTGATAAATTCCTAGCTTTTCAAGAAGAAAATTATGTAGGTCATTCACAAGATCACAAGAGACAAAGAGGAGAAATATGCCAGCCATTTTTTTCATTCTGGAGATTATTGTTCTCTTTGTTTGTTCCCTGGTCATCAGCACAAAGATGTAAGGACAAGATTTAAGATCCCAGCTAGAAGATACTCCTAGCCAAAATGTGGAAGAAACACAGATCTCCCACACTGTGCACTTCCTTTGGCTCCTCCCAGCACACCTGCCCTGTCATACTCAGGTTATATGAAACTGGTTTGAAACCAAATAGGAGCAATGGGTGCAATTCAACTCTGTCCTCAGCAGCCAAGCAAGCTGTTACAATTTCTCCTTCTTTTCCTCCCACCATTCGATCTTCAAACCCTCAGAGTCACTGACCTTTAGTCTTTCATTATCCTTTCTTAAAGAATTGGCTTCTCCAGCCTGTTGATGCAGTTTATCCATCAAATTTTGTCTGTCATCCCGCATTTTTTCCTCCAGTTTTGCCAGTTGTTCCATCAAGTCTGCAACACGGCTGCCACACAGAGAGAAAATTAATTCTTAAGTGACAAGAATAAGACTCTTAACCCTTGAAAACTAGCTTCAGAAACATGGCTTTTCCCTACCCTTTCATCTTCCTCCTCCAGTCATGTATGCACATTTCCTATTACACTGTTCTACTACCTCAATCTTTTTATATCTCCTAGAACTTAACTGGAGTTCTCCCCCTGGAGCTCAAAAGAATTGTCTCAAAGATACACAGGATAAAGAGGTGCCTCTCTCATCTCACATGTACCTACTTTTTCCTACAGCAACAACTGTACTGCAGAGATACTAACTCATTCATTTACCTTCACAACAAAATTTGCATCAATTATACTGCTTATCTCTTTTAATATCTTCCATTCAAGTTTCTCAAACAGATCTCAAAAGAACAATAACCTTAATTCTTTCAAAGCATTACAAAACGGCAAAGGAACAGAGTTTTAAGGGTCAGCAAACCCTTAATGACTCTGCCTTTGCTGTGGCAGAAGTCGCATCTCTCTCTCCACCTCTCCAAACTCTGCTCTAGCCCTTAGGCAGTGCTGGTTTTGCTTGGTTAAATTAATCCAATTAAACTATTCATTTCAATGCTATTATTCAATTGAATGCAATTAAATTATCCTTGAACTTTGAGCTCATGCCCCTCTTATGCTTCCTTCCCCACAATGATTTTATTCTAACCTGTTCAGTCCAACAACTTCCATTTCGAGGTCACCCTTGTCCTTCACTGCTTTGTTGCAGCGGTTCCTCCAGGACTCGAGATTGGACCGGGCCTCAGCAATACAGTTGTCCTGTCAGACATGGGAAATACATGAGGAAAAGAGCACAAAAAACCTCCCTGGATGTGGGATATGCAGACAATACACAGAGATGTCCTTAACTTCGGACATGCAGTGATAGCTGAGCAAACTGGATTTGTTCTAAACTTGGCATAAATGGGCCAAGGCATGAAGACAGAAATAAATCTCATTAGTTGGAAGCAGAGAATCTCCCCAGGGCTGCTACTAGAAGTCAAGAATTTAGAAGCATGACCTGAAAGGAGGCCTCTCCCCTTGATTTAGAGGTACCTTTTCTGCCAGCTGGGCAGTGAGTTTCTGCACATATTCCTCACTCCGCTCCGCCCTCTCCTTCTGTGCACGGACAGCTTTCTTCAGGGCCTCCTTATCAGCATCTCCCTTATTCCTCAGCTCTTTCAGCTGGTCCATGACAAGTTCCAAATCTGCCCTGAGCTGAGCTTCATTGCGCTCCAGATTCTGCAGGGGGAACAAAACACACCACATGGAATTACGCCTGCATATCACACCTGCAAAGCCAAAGCAGCAACTAATCTCCTCGGAATGGTGGTGAGATCCAGGCACAAATGCCCAGCCTTCAGCCTGGAGGTATCTGCAATCAGGTTTCACCTACACAATCCTGTCCTAATGCTGAGAGATGGCAGTATAATGTCTTCCTTTTATGACAAGACTCTTCCCTTTTTTCATAAGCTGCTCCCTAAAATACTGATTTCCTCTCCTGACCAAAAATAAATACTGGTCTAAGAGTCTTTAGATCTACCTGAGAACACTCTTTTTATTAATTGAAATGTTTGCATATAATAATGTTGCTTTATGCAGCTATTACTTAAAACAGATTAAAGCTCCTCTAAACCATTAACACATTTATGGTCCTCGTAACATCATCCCAACACCAACAGATATGTTAAATATAAAACTCTGAACAAAATAAACCCGAGGAACTTTCTCCTCCTCATTAATACTATAGAAAACATGCATGAGTGTGATCAAACTGGAACTCATGGCACAGCATTTTTCCCAGAAAGCAAATTAAATAGTTTTCAATTTGCCTTGATGCTTGACTAAACCAAAGCCATCTTTTAAATAACTATGTAGTAATTAACTCAGTAAAAAGAAAATCTAATTAATGCATATAGACCTTAAGGCTAAGATTTTGCCTTATGCCTCAAAGGTGAGAAGATTTCTCTTCTCTTATTTAATTGGAAAACGATGCTGCGTGTTAAGTGTCACAAACATCATCAGCCAATATTTCAGTCAACCAGACTCCAGTGAGATGTTGGTGCTACTTCCCTGGTCAGTTGATTCAGCTCAAGAGGGTAAAAGGAAGAGCCAGTCCCCAGGGAGCAGGGCAGACATACCCGGAGATGTGTAACCAGACGGTTGTTCTCAGATTCTTTGCTTCGCAGCTGGGCTTGAAAATGGGCTTTCACATTCTCCAAAGTTTTGGTGAGTTCAGCAACTTTCCTTGCCTGATCCTAGATAAGAAGGAACAAGAAACACACCTAATAGAAGAAACACTTCACAATATGCCATAGCCTCAGATTTCTTCACTGAATGGTCTCCAGCCACCTCCACTTTCCTCAGAGGGACCCTCACAGCTCTCTTAGTCCAACAAATGGGGAACAAATGAGCAGCCATTTATTCTACAACAGATGTGAATGACTGGCCTGAAAGACACGTTCTAGGGTAAAATATTCTTCATATTTGATCTCTTCCATGGCACTCCCCTTTTACTTCCTAACCAGAGGAACAGACTGGATTTTGTCATTGGGAATCAACAGGACCTTAAACAGAATGGCAATTCAGAGCCCAAGCCCAAAGGGAATTCTACATATCCATCCTTGTGACAGGTGTCTTATTAGCAGAATATGGAGCCCACAACTGTGTGGGAGTTGGCATCTGTCTGTCTATTTTTATAAGCAAGCCAGTCATCTGATCTGTTAAAAAGTAAGTCTGCAAACACAACCCCATATTTTGGACTGTCTGTGGTTCTACAGAACTGGAATGTGGTGAAGAGAAGGACAAACAGAAAAAGGAAACTACCTTTTCTGCCTGTATCTGAAGGGTGAGGCTGTCCACTTCTTTTTCTTTCTCCTGAAGCTTGATTTGAAGTTGCTGGAAAAACAAACACCATTCAGATGTTCAGTAACAAACTCATTTAGGATGGCAGGTGGAAGGCAAGAGCTGTAACTGCCTCCTTCCCAAGGCCCTCTAATCCATGGCACTGCCTGGTATCCACAACAACAGCATCCTCATCCCCAGAAAAACAGGCTGCATTCTCCTCAAGCAGGAATCAAGAGGGATACACATATATATGTGTAACAGGGTATAGGATACCCAGTCAAGAAAGGATCTGACAGGACACACACTCCACAGACTGAAAAGGGCATTACCTATGTCTCACAGCAGGTTTTATAACTTCTGGCAATAAATAAACAAACTCTGGTCTCAGTTCACAAATAAAGAAATGAATAAAAACTGGCACAGGGTCACTCACTCATTCAGTGACAGAAGCTGACACAAAAAGCTGTCCCCACTCTAAGCTCCATATTTCAAAGGCAATGAAAATCTATCCACTTTGAAATGCAGATTGTTAATCAGAGGAGAAATGTAGTAGCTCTGATTATCACCAAAGCTAAAATAAGTTTTTACTGGTCTAAAAGGCACTACTGTAAGATTTGACAGCCAAACACAAGACAAAGAATGGTTTGTCATTTTAGATCTCTCTGCTTTATAATTAAAAACGAAAAAAAAAAAGAGTGTGGTGTGCTTACCATGTTCTCTGCATCTGACTCAGCCAGTCTTTTCAGCAGCACTGCTTGTCGATCCAGGATCTTCTGGTTCTCTTTCTACAAAAGAAACACATGGGAAAAATTGTTAACTAAAAAAATTTTATACAGATTCTTTAAATGGAATTGGGCAAATCAACCATTTCCTCCCAGCTACAGCAGTAATTCTTAGGAGATATCCTGAAGCATCAAATATGCTAAATATTTAATGTATCATTATCCATGTCAGAAAGCTTTTCCACTTCTCCATCAAAGGTTAAAATACAAAGCATGATGGCAATGGAAGATCTTTCTGAACTCTCCCACCACTCAGGGACAGTCATGTGGAAGAATTCAGACCTTTTATCCAGCCTCACTGGTGGCTGAGATAACTGTCACCATCAGCCTGCTTTTGCTGAAATGGAATATAAAAGACACAAAGAATAGTAATTTCATTTCTGCATTGCTCTTATAAGCAATACAGAGTTGTTCTGTAGGAGCAGCACAGAATAGTTTACAATGTCTCTGTTATTGCTCTCAGAGTCTACCAAAATAAAGTTCTGAATATCCTTAGGCTCCCATTAGCTGAGGTCACATCAAGTCCTCATTCTCCAAGCAATGCAAGTGCAGCAGAAACATTTGAGACCAGCAGGATCAGCAGATACAGCTGGATCCAGAGGAGACAGAGCTGGCAACACAGCAGTACCTGAAACTTTTAATACAAAAACTCAGAGGCTCTAACATCCTCATAGGAGAAAAGTCAGTCTTACTCTGTGAAGCATGATAAAGAGAAAAAAAAATCAAAAAAAACCCCTATTCAACATTTATAGGTTGACAGGGTCAACAGCAGGGATGGGAAAAAGAATTAAAAAGCTTTCAAACTCAAAATTCCCTTTCAGCCACGAGACAACAGAGCCTCCTGTGATGAGCCAGGTGCTCACCTCCCGGTTCTGCTGCTCTGCCAGGAGCTCTCGGAGTGTCCGGTTGGTTTCTTCAAAGGTGCTCAACTTCTGGAGCAGAAGCTCTTTTTGTCTCGTCAGAGCACTAATGTCAGTGGTGCTCATGTGTTTCTCCTGGAGGAAAAACCAACAAAACCCCAAATAAACAAACCAACCAAACAATCAAAACAGAAACAAAACCTAACCCCCCCCCAAACATACAAAGTGCACAAAAACAAAGGGAAATAAATGTTTACATGGAATAAGTGCATTAAGCCAATACCAGCATGAGCAGTGCAACAGTCAGCACCATGTGTGCAGAAGGTGCTGCAAGGAAACTTCCAAACCAAACTAGCAAACACCATAAGGATGTTAAATCCCTCCACTTTTCCTTACATTTTGCTTCATCATTACATTTTTAAGACAACTATATAACAGGATAAAACGTAGTAAAGGCAAGAAAAAGGACGACACCTACAATGTTGAGTCTCCCAATGGTATTTTTCAGGGCATGGATCTGCCTGGCAGCTGCTGCTCCATCTCTTTCTGCATCACTCAGCTTGGACATCAAACACTCCTTCTCCTGCTGCAAGCACTCTTTCTGTAGCCTGCAAGGAGAATTCAGCCATCAGAGAAACAAGAAGCTTTGGCAGCTGTACCAGCCACTATTGATAAACAGTTGATTGGGTTAAAGCCCATAAAACCCCCTGAATCAGAGGATAAAAGCTCTAAACACAGACTACCTAAGATTTACCCTCTTTCAGCGTGGAAGTTTTTTTGAAAGAAGGCAGTAAGCAGACACAAGGAGCTTCCCAGGATCAGAGCCATGAAACAGGAATTTAGAGGGGACAAATCAGGCTTATACCAAAGCCTGCACACACTACTAAACCCAAAACACAATGCTGTGCTTTTCCTGGGCACTTGGGCCACATCAGAAATAAGACTCCAAAGGGTTGAACATGAAATAGAAAAGCACACCAAGATATAGAGCTCAAAGTTTTTAGCCAGGGCTTGTAATCTCAGAAGCATTCACAGAGCTTTCTGAAAAAGGAATACACAGTATTAACTTCCAAGTGATCTTTCTTAAGGAAAAAATAAAACTAACTTTCTTAAAACACTAGTGTCCCCCTGGAGACACAAACTTCCCCAATTCTTTAGATACAAAGCAGGTGCAAAAATGTCACACTTTCAGACCTTCAGGGTCACCAAGAAAAAACCCCATGGTTCAGTCCTCTCAAGGTCTGTCATTCCTGTCTCTGCATGATTTTCATAAAAGTCAAAAATTCTCTTCTAGTTTTCAGCTCCATGTTTATAAATTTATTATTCTCCTAGTGGTTCAAACAGAATCTCTTAACTTTCAAAATACTAATTGCAGAGCTAGGATGACCCTCCAATAGGCCATACAAGCCAACTCTCTCAGGTTCCTCTCAGAGTGTTTTTTTCCATTCCAAAATTCATGCCAGAGCCCTTCTCTGCAGCTACTGCAATCTGGAGATCCCTTTCTCAAAGGTGACAAAAAAATCAGAGTGCATCAGCAGCAACTACGACCTCAGATCATGTCAGCATCAAAGGGAGGTGCCCTGTGAGTGCCACAAGTGCAGGAACAGTGAGAACAGGAGCTTTCTTACAGAGTCAGGTCCTTCTCCTCCTTTATGCGCTCGATGTTGCGCCTGAGCCGCGTGTTCTCGTGTTCTGTTTCCACCAGTTCTTGTGTGACCTCGTTCAGCTCTTCCTTCTGCTCCTCCAGGAGACGCTTTGTCATTTGATCCTGTTCCTCCATTTTCTGCAGCTTGACCTGAAGATATTGAAACAAAACTTAAACCAGGTGCTTTTGAAGCGATACACAGAATCCACATCCCAAATAATGAACCTTTTAGATTCAATTAACTTATGGAAAGTATATTACAAAAAAGTATCTTCTCCCAGGTAACAAGTGACAGGACAAGAGGAAATGGCCTCAAGCTGTGCCAGGGGAGGTTCAGGTTGGACATCAGGATGAATTTCTTCACTGAAAGAGTTGTCAGGTATTGGAAGGGGCTGCCCAGGGAGGCGGTGGAGTCACCATCCCTGGAGGTGTTCAAGGAGCAACTGGATGTGGCACTGAGTGCTCTGGTCTGGTTGACAAGGGGTGATCAGTCAAAGGTTGGACTCGATCTTGGAGGTCTTTTCCAGCCTTAATGATTCTATGATCTAAAATTGATTTTTGTTTTACCATCATGCAAGTAATTCCATTAAATTCTGTAGCATAAATAAAATGGAAAACGCTTGATGTAAGAATCTACTTGACTCAAATCCTATTCTTAGGATTTCTTGTTCACTGATTTGAACTTCACATAGTTTTGAGTAAAATAATAACCCAAGATTTGCTACCCTCAGGGTTAACTTGAAGCTAAAAATGCAGTTTGCCCCCACCAGAACACATTTTATGAGACCTGGTAACATCCCCTACCCGTTTTTAAGTGGTACAAGTACATAAGAGCCTGTTTATCTGGAAAACACATCACTGGGTTGCACATTTTGAAACAGCATCAGAAGAAACAATCTTGTTGAATAAGGGGGTTTTCTGACAATAAAACATCAACACATCATATTTTTCACTTTCTGGAGTGACCAGTTTGCAGATTTTGGGCTTGGGCAAAAGAGAGATTATTTGGAAACTAAAGCACAGTTATTATTAAACGAATAATGTTTTGAAATGTTTCATAGTGCAGCTTAGGGCATTTCTCACTAGGACAGCTCAGCCCTTCTAAACAATTCAGATGGATTTTTGGTTTTACAGCAAGCCACCAACAGCCTGGGGAGCCTTCCATTGAACCAAGACTTGACTCCAGCCTCCTCTTGTCAAAGGATCAGCTGCACAGCCAAGTCAGCAGGTCTTTACACTGTCTCCTCACCTCTTTCTTCAGCGTTCCCACCATGTTCATCAGGCTGTCTATCTTCTTTTCATACTTGTTCATTTTGGAGCAAGCGGCATCGTCGTCGTCCGTGGAGAGGTCGCTCAGGCGCAGCACCGACTGCATTCTTTCGGAATCTGGTGTGACTTCGAGGCGTTGACTTGATTCCTGGCAGAAAATAAAGGGTATCATTCTTTTAGTGTAACATTAGAAATAGTATTTAAGACAGTATTTTAAATAGTATTCTAAACCTAACTTGGCCAAAACTAAAGACCAGGTCAACATCACTGCAGCGAGGGTAGTAAAGAAAAAAACCACTTGTAAACAGCTCTTCCATTTCCATGTGGGAAAGCTCAAGAATGCAGAAAGAGTACAACAGAGAAAGAAGAAAAACTAGTCAAAGCTCAAATCTTCATCTAAGACATGCCAGGAATACAACAGGCAAAACCATCAACCCATGAGAAAGAAAATATTACACAACGCTACACAAATGCTCTGTGCTTTTGAGGAGACTGAGACCAGCAGGCCCTCACTGAGCCTCCACATGAGATTTGAAGGGCACTAATAAAACTACAATAAAGAAATAAATGTGTCTGGTTTCTAGAGCCAGAAAAGCACAATATGGCCACAGGCTGGTGACTAATTCCCAGTTTTTCTATATTAAAAAGTGAAAAGGATTTATAGAAGACACTTTAAAGAGCTGGTAGGTCACAGCAGCCTCCTTTCAGATCTGCCCAGCTCTCTCACTACACAACTGCTCTCTTCATTCTCAGATAAACCTGAAAGTTTGTTTTAAAGAGCAAAACCAGCTGTACCTCCCATTTCAAGGTGGTATCACGGGCACGTGCTTTGCCTGGGGGCATCCATGGGGCCTTAGTTTTCACCCGGACGGCTCGCACACCATCCCCTTTTCTTGGTTTCTGCTTCTGCTAAAGAAGGAGAAAATAAAATAAATTACAGACTTTTAAAGAACAATTCACAGTTTTTAGTGCTGCAAAACCAAATGAAAGATCATTCACATAAAAATATCAATAGTATTTCACAGGATGCATCAGGTGAGATGAGGCAGCAGCCACCAGAGGAAGGTGACATCAGCCAGAAGGAAAGATTACTGTGCACTCAGCTGAGAGCATGGCTGGAGGTAGGACATGAGAGATGCCTGGGAGATCCCTTCTTCATCCCAGATTTATCTCACAAAAGAGCAGCTGTATCATTTGACACCACCATTGATCGTGGAAAGCCCCTGAAGTGTTTTCCCCACTCCCCAGTCAACGATCAGACCAACATTTATTTGTATTGAACTCGAGCGGCTCTGACTGAAGCAAAAATAAAGTGTTTTTACACAATTCTAACCTTGGAGAAAAATCAGGCATTCTAAACATTTCCTACCAGTAATTATTTAACAGGAGTCATAGATTTCACTGTCATTTCATCCCATTATGAAATTTGCCACTAGCAACAAACACAAAACAAACAGAGGACTTAGAGCAGGATGTCTGCAGATAAGGAAAAATGAGCTAGCAACTTCCAGCACCTTTTTAGAACAACTTTCCATAAATACTCAGCTACAAAGGAGGATATGGGATAGCTGGAACCTCAACTTCAGTACTGCCTTCTACCTCCTGTGGATAAGGATGGGAAGAGATTCTCTTTGTTGCAGAACTCAGTGGACAGATAAAGGTGCTTAGTGCTAGAAGATGGTTTGAATCCAGACTCTTTTTCTAAGCACATTTTTTTTAATACAATCAAGATGCTATTTGAAATGCCTAAGTATTACCTCTCCCCAAACCTTTCCTACAAAAATAGGAACACAGCCAAAGAAATAACATTATCAGGACACAAATCCAGGAAATAAAAGGAAAAACAAACCTCCTCCAAACTATATCACATTGGAAACAACACTTCTCACAAGAACATGGAAAGTAACAATACATTCTATATCATACTGAAATCATCTCAAACACAGAAAATGTGTCACTGCAAATTCACCACTGGATATGAATTCAAGTCTTACAATTCTAGCACAACAGCAAAACAGACCTGGAAGATTTTGTGATGCTTCTAAGGCCATTCACCTTCCTCTTTGCAGCCCTTACAAACAACCAGGTACACGCTCCTACCTGGCATTGTGCAGGTGTGGTTTTCTGCCCCTTTTTAATATGGACATGGACAGGGGTGTTTTCATCCACATGGACGTGCAAAGGGGGAGATGAGGAACGGTTCTTCATGGCTCTTCTCCCACAAACGGGAAAGGGAAATACAATGAAGGGAAACCTGTGAATAAGGAAACTGGAAATAACAACATTTCCCTCTGTGCCAGAGAGGAACAACGGCCAACCTTGGTTAACATTTGAGCTTTCTTTCAGTAGCATCTGCCATTTTGAACTGCACACTACTTTTCTGCAAAGCTAGGAATAACATAAACAATTCCTCTGCTTCAAGTATTTTCTGCTTTTAACCTGGTTATTGAAGAGCAAACACAGCTGGATTGATACTAGGTGTCCCTAAGAGTCATTGGAGATCAAGTTCTTAAAGCAAGCAAGCAAATCAAGGATTCCCACAACCAGCAAAATCTGATTACAAAGAGAAATTCAAAGGGGAGAGGACAATAAATTTAACGATTAAGAAAAATCAACAAGAAACCATCAGACTACTCCATCCTGGAACTCTGAACTGTAAACTCCTTCATACATGCTTAAGTGTCTTTTTGAAGCAAAAAAACCCTTAAAAGCCTTTGGGTCACAGCATTTCTTTAATCTCCAGAAAAACACCTTAACCAATACCTGACACAACACAGAAAAGCCTATAGACATAAGGTTCAAGTCATCATCTCGGAGCTCAATGCCTCAGTTGATGTAATGGCATAATGCAATTGCAAATCTTACACAAATCCACCAGCAGCACTAATCTGATTCTGGCAAAAAGGATTTTGTCAGCCCAGGTAAAGTTACTTACAGTCACTCTCAAGCTTTTGAGTTTTTTGGACACAGTGTTTGGTCCAGAGGTTGTAGTCGATTCCTCATTGAGGGATGAGACACACCTGGTACAGAAATAATAAAATGAGTAAGAGGAAAAGATACCGATTTCTGAACATCCTTTTGATTTAAGGCAACATACAGGCATAAACACATCAAATGTATGAACCCAAACAGCAAAAGTTGGTGTGTTGTGGCTTCCTCTGACAAACACGGGATGAGGGAAGGACCGAGGCTGTAACTCCTCATGCACTGATGACGAAAACTGGTTTAAACAACACAAATGTTTTGTACCATTACATGATGGCATTACTCAGCTACAAACCTCCAAATTCTAACTGCAATTTTTAAGGGACACAGCAGTACTTCCCTTAACTCAGGAACAGGAAGCGACAGCTTTCTGAAGGAACAGGATTCCCCAGCTTCCAGCTAGGAACAACTCCAAACACCGCCGGGTGTTTGAATCATCCCTTTTTTTTTTTTTTGTCCAGGGAAGGGCTGAACCCTCCGCAGGCCCAGCACTGACAGAGCTTTTGAATCACCGCGAGCGAAACCCAGACGCTGTCACCGCGCCCGCCTGGCAACAAGGCTCACTCCGGAGTTTAATTCCTCCTGCCGGCCC